GAATCACGAGATTCCTAAATTATTGTAATTATTAAAAATCTACTTAAATCAAGATCAATACGCCCCCTAACTGTTGTAGAGTTAGTGTCGGAACTTAGTAGAGAGACAAAACTTTGATCTACTAGATTCCAAAATCAATTTCCCCAACCCTGATGAAAATAGATTAGGATTCCGAAAAAGAATCAGGACTCGTAAAAGTGTTGGAATTGAACCTTTTGATTAAACCTGCAGAAGAAGAAGAAGATGATACAGTAAATGAGGATTTAAGTGGGAAGACACGTGGATCGTGGAGATCTAAAGAAGAAGCAACGGTCAAGATTAAATAAGCAGAAGTGTTTTGGGGTTAAAGAGAAGTTGAAGGTCTCTTACGGATTCATTGATAAAAATTGTAAAAGTTTGTTATCTTCTCCTTGAATCTCTTCTTTTGTTAGGTTCTCATCTAGAGACCTAGAGATGATGATCGAAGCTGCGTTTCATGAACGTTGTTTTGGTTAACTTTAGAATTGAAGTGTTGATTGATCGATCGGTGAAGAAAGCTTTATCAGAAGAAGCTTCGGGGAGAAGAAGAAGTGCTCATAGAGCAAAGGCAAAGGAAAAAGAAGAAGAAGTCGTGACAAGGTCAACGACACATAGAGAAGAAGGAGCAAAGTCAACAAGAAGAAAGGTGTTGGGCTTTGTGTGGTTTGGTCCTAAGAAGACTAATGGGCTACGTTTTTGGTTAAGGCCCAAAGTAAAGGAAGTGTGTTTTGTTTGTTAAGTGCTAGCTAAAGACTAGAGTTGTTGGTTAACCTTGCTTGTGAGCTTGGTTATACCCTAGAGTAATGATGTCTAAAAGTAAGGTTTAAGTAGAAGTATGGTGCAAGTGTGTGTACTAAGTAGAGGTAAACTAATATAAGTATGTGTGTGTATGTCTTGTAAAAAGTTATCCTTTGATCCAATATTATCAATGTAGACATTAAAAGTTCATAAACGTGTTCTTGTTTCTCAAAACAAAACAGAGAGAAACTGAGAGTTAAGGTGGTGAAGAGAACACCACATCAAAAGTTCAACAAAAAGTCTATGCATCTCTTTACATCTAATATACTTATTAGTATGTCTTCATATTATGCACTGTTGGAGGAGATAAAAACAATGTTTTTACTATATTTGAAACTTGTTAGTTATATAATACACAAAATAAAACAGTAATGGTAATGTAAGTCTTATGTTCAACGTTTGCACTAGTGGAATATTTTACTTGGCTGGTATGGGTGAGAAGTGAAAAGAGATAAAATATATACATTGGTTGGTTTGAAATTGTATGACCTGCTCATAACGTACCAAATATAAATTTAATTTCTATTTTGCGTCAATTATTGTTGCAAGAATGAATACGTTATTCAAACTTTGGCTTTTGTTCAGTTTTTGAAATTGATTAATAATGTTGAGATTATCCTCCTCATATGTTTTTTTATCAGCGGTATTTGTTCGGTAAATCTACTTATTCAAAAAGATAGTATCATCGACTTTTCTGTTGTATTAAATATTTACAAATGTTATATATCTATTTTATTAATTGGGAAACATTAAAAGATAAAAAACCTTATTTTGGTAAAAATATTACGATGAATGCCATTACAATTAATCCATTCTAAGAGTAAGCATAAAAATTCGTTCAAGGGTAAAATGGCTAATTTGCTGGCAAATGACACACGGATCCTGGGTTGTTGGGTCGGATCTAGGGCGTTTGGATCGGTCATACACGCGGGTCTTCATATGCTAGAGCTTCTCGAATGTTTTGAAAATATATCCTGCAGTTAATGTCAAAATCAAGTATGTTAGTTATCATTTAAAGAGATTTCCGTAACAAACGAATCCAATAAATTCCTATTAGTAAATGATGATAAATCTTTACGATTCAAATTCAGTTATTAAATTTACCAAATATAACATTGACTATAAATTCAAACCCTAACAAATTTAGCATATACCTTAACAATCCCTTTTCGCAAATAATTAGAAGATTTTGATTCAGTAAACCCTAAAAAAAATAAGCCGACCTACTTTTCCTATAAATATGCAAGTCTAATAACATATTCAATACTCACTAAGCTTTCAAACGATCCCTAATCTTAGACATTCTCCTTTTAAAAAAATGGCTGCAAAACTTGCTGACATCAAACCATCCAAGACAAGTTGGAAAATAAATCCAAGTAAAATTTTTGCATGCTTGGACTCATTACACTTTACAATGGAAATGATTCTTGCTGATGAATCTGTAAGTATAGATTCACCTAATTTATACTGTTTTGAATTTTCTAATAATCATTGGTAGACCCTATATTTAATAGTAATTGTTTTTAACTTCTTATATGGTACTTTGATTCATGCTACTATAAAAAAATAACAAGTGAACAAGCTTCAATGGTTTTTCCAATCTGGAGAGTGTAGAATTGTGGAAATTTTTACTCTCTCAAAATCTATGGAAAAGTACAAGGCAACCAAGCATGGTTTTAAGATGTCACATATAAATTTGAGGCATTCCTCCAATGAATAAATATGATAGACTCCTCCATTTTCTAATGTTTCTCCAAATGAATCTTTATCTGAAAACATTTAATTTTGTTACATGATTTTGCAAACCTTATATTTAAGATTGCTTAACTCTCATATGACAAAGTTAATTATTTTCTTAAGCTATCTGAAGTTAACCGTTTCATTTACAGAAACAGAAAAAGTTCTTAATGCATATCAAACAATACCAAACATTTCAGTACTTTGTGTGGATGTCGGAATCCGCAATACAAATTGTATGATGTGTATCGGATCGTCTAGTCTTGCCAATTCGAATAGCAATCGTCAAAAAGAAAACAAAAGAGTGAAGTATGTGTATTCGTTTATTGCTCAAGAAAGATCCCCCTATACAATGGTTTTCGTTTCCTATTTATAATTACATGATTTGAAACCGAAGTCGCTCATCAAGCCGCAGATCTCGCCTTCATTATTGCTTCCGTTTCGAATCTTCCCGATCTAGCAGATCCCGTGCAACCCGCCTTTCATTTAACTCGTGAGATCCCGACGTTTTACTCGAACTGGGCTGGAACTTATTGGGCCGCTCTTTTCGTCCCCTGGACCGGGCCGACGGCCCACTTTGTCTTATTGATCCACTATCTTTCCGGGCCGGATCCGAACTGCGGGATCCGACACCAACAGTTTGCCTCCCAAGTGTTCCGAAGTATTCACTTCGGGATACTTTAAATAACAAACTCTTCTCGGGCTCGGAGATTTCGTCATTAATTCCGCTTTCCCCGGGATTTGGTTCCTCGACCGAAGTGACGTTTCGAGATCTTAGGGTATAAATTTTCCCGCAGATCGAGGGATTCTTCTCGGGATGAGGGCGGCGTTTCGAGTTCCTAGGGTTTCCATATTCCCGCCAGAGATTCCTATAAATATTTGTTTGGACTCTTCGGGTTCTGCACAACCGCTTCAAGTTCATTCATTCTTCGTCGTCTGCTTATTTAAGGTACCGAACCCTCTCCTCTTTTCTCTCTTATCACTCTTCCGATTACGCTTAGTTCTTGCTATTTAGTTTCGGATTCGTGTTAGTTCACCGCTCTAGATTAGTTCCGTGCTAGATTTAGGCCAGAGATCTAAAAGATTTCTTAGATTTTCAGCCCTCTGCTCCGAAATCGTTCGCTGTTCTTCATCTCCTCCGCCGTGTTCTTGATATTCCGTTGAATCGCAACCGTTTTCCGAAGAACATCGACCGCTTAATCTTTCCGGTTTCTGGGTTTTCACGAAGATCTTCGAAGTTTGCTCAAGCGTGTTCTTGAGTTGTTCTTGAAATATCTTCCCAAATCCCTGGCACCAGATCTTGTTTCGTCTCTACATCTTCCTTAATTACGTTATGGCTCCGAAGCGAAGCAGGAAGATCCAGAATGAGACTCACATCATGGAAGGCGAGTTCGGGAAGTATTTTTCTTCGAATCTCGACAATAAAAAGCTGGCTCTGCTGAAAGGTGCCTGCCAGATCCCTCGTCGAGTCTCCTTGATTACTCCGGGTCCGACAGATTCTCCGGAGTCTCCAAATACGGATTATTTCGTTCGTGAATGGACTCGTCGTCCCGGTAGATAGCTCCTTAGGTTTTTCACTGCTTTTCACTCGTCTTTTTTTTTTTCCTTTCTAATCCGTCAATGTTTTTGCTTTTGCAGCTAAACTTCCGAAGAAAACGCTTTCTCATACTTTTGCGGGGCAATTCGTAAAGATTTGCAATAGCAGCGACCTGTCGTGGGAATTGTTCACTTGCGAACGCATCCGGAGTTCGTGTGCTCGAATTGTCTCGCGATCCGACCTCATTTCCTCCACTCCTCCCTCCTCCCCTACTGTTGCCACTAACATGTCTCCACTTTCCTACCGCGAAGAGAAGAGGCTCCAAAAGGAAAGGGAAAAAGCGAGAGAAGCGAGAGAGAAAGAAGATAAGGCCAGGATGGTGAAGGCCTTGGATGAAGGGAAGTCCAGATCTTCATCTGGTAAAGGGAAGAACTCGGGTACCGTAGATCCGGTTTCCGAATCGAAGACCTCTGATCACCGTGATCTAAAGAAGGTGTCTTCGGGAAAAGACCTAATCCGGATCTCGGATTCTCGCTCCTCCCGATCTTCTCGGGAAAAAGAAATTTCTGAAGGAGGTCATAGTGCAACCTCCTCAAGGTAACGCAGGAACGAGGAATCTGAAGTTCCTTCCCTCCAACGCAAGAGTCGTTCTCGTCTGAACGACGAGAAAAATCCTTCCGAGGATGCTGGGACCAGTCTGGGGTCAAAACCAGAAGAAAAAGAAGATCCACAACGGGCCCCGGAGTCCGACTTGCCAACTCAGCTTCTTGTCCTGCCTTCGCGGGACTCTGAGAACCGGGGATCCGTCCGTCAGGAGATTCCGATCCCCACTGGTAAGTAGAGTCACTTCGTATTTCTATCTCGCTTCGAGTTCATTTTGACGTTTTATTTTAACAGCTCCTCCGAAGTCACCAGCTGATTTCATGAGGAACTTTACTCCTGTTGGGATGAGGATTCCTCCCTTTAGTGACTTGAAGGAGGTCAACAGAGCGAACTACTTTCGCTTCGCTGATAAACTCGGAGAGGTAATTCTTTGAACTCTTCTCCTTATATAAAAATAAGAACTTTTCTTTCCGTCCTCATGAATCTTCGTTTCGACAGTTAATGCTCGAGTACAACACCACCTTCTCCTGCCACGAGTCCCAGCTCTTTCCAGTTAACGAGCTGGATGGCCTCAGGGCCCGGGTTGCCGAACTTGAAGAAGGGATCCGTCAACTCAAGGAGATGGAGGAGGAAAATGCCAAGGCGGTGGCAAAGGCGAACGAGATCCGGGAACGAATGCTGGAAGCCGAAGGTCGCTGCAACCTTCTTGACATTGCCAAAACTGATCTTTCCGAGAAGCTGAAGATCGGGAAGAACTTGTACCTCGAGGCATGTGACAAGATTACCTCGCTGGAAGCTGAAGTTAAGCGAAGCGAGGAATGGTGCAAGATCGCTGCTGAGAAACGGGACGAGGAGCTCGCAGCAGCGAAAAAAGATGAAAGGATGAGGCTTCGTGAACTCTATAGCGGACTCGACTCGAAACATGAGACCTACTACAAGGCCATCAGTGATAACGAGATGATTGGGACACGTCTTGCCGAGACTCGGGCGAACCGAGAACTTCTTGAGGAGTTAAAAGCCGAACTAGAGTTCGGCTTTTACCGACTCTAGTTCGGCTTTCCCGACGTCAAGGGTCAATGATCTGGTTCTGGGGTTGTGATGGCTAGTGTGCCCCCCTTTGTTGTTTTATTTTTTAAAGACTTGAATATTTCCCCTCCATATTTATATAAGTCCTTTTGAATTATAAATCCGGAGTATTCAAGAAATTTGAATACCTAGTATGAAAAATTAAGAAATACTTAAGATTTCAACGAGATGCGCTGTTTACATGAACTCAAAATTCATTTTTCAATGGATAAGGGAAAATACTAAGAACGAGAGTTAAGTGGGTGTTCTTAATAGAAAAAATGAGGATCGGGACTCGGAGTCCGCAGAAATCCCTAGTCTGTGTTGAACCAGACCCTTTTTCTGCTAAGTAAAACTTAGGCTTATCTTTCAAGAATTACCAGAGATCTGAGCTCGGTTTTCGAGAAAAGTAGTTACGAGGTTCTTCTCGGTTTCACGGATTGCGAGATAATTCTCGGCTTCTTTGAAAAATGTTTAGAAGAATATAAACATTTTATTTGATTTAGAGACTGCACTCGAAGTTCGAGCTGCCTACGTACCCAAAGGTGGGGATCAAGTCTATCGTAGTTCGATTTACAATAATGAAAATAATAAAATACTTAAACAAAGTATCTCTTCAGATAAATGGAATTCCAAGCTCTTCGGACTGCTTTTCCTTCCATGTTTTCAAGGCGATAAACTCCATTGCGAACTACCTGAGTAATTCGATAAGGACCTTCCCAGTTGACGCCTAACTTTCCCGCTCCGTCTTCGGCTGTATTTTGCTGAACTTTGCGTAATACTAATGTCCCAACGTCGAAGTGCCGACTTCGGACAGTCGAATTATAGTATCGAGCTGCGGCATTCTGGTAATTTTGCATTCGAATCAAAGCTCGATCACGTCGCTCCTCAATGGTATCAATAACGTCCACCATCAGTTCGCTATTTGCTGCCTCGTTCTGCGGGTTATTCATCCGTCTCGGACTTGGCACAGATATTTCAGCAGGGATTACAGCCTCCATTCCATAAACTAATGAAAATGGTGTTTCACCAGTTGCACGCCTAGGAGTAGTGCGAATTGCCCAGAGAACACTCTGTAGTTCATTAAACCAAGTTCCTTTGTGCGACTTGAGTTTTTTCTTCAAAGTAGACAAAACAGTTTTGTTCATTGCTTCAGCTTGACCATTAACCTGCGGATAACGAGGCGTTGATCGACTGAGTCTGATTTGCCATTCTTCGCAGAAAGACTCGAATTGCCGTGAAATGAATTGAGGTCCGTTATCAGTAACGATCTCATATGGCAAACCGTGCCTACAAATGATGTCCTGCCAAATGAACTTGCGAACTTGAACCTGAGTTATGTTTACGTAGGCTGCCGCCTCTACCCACTTCGAGAAATAATCGGTAAGAACCAAGACAAATTTCACTCCACGAGTAGAAACATGAAGAGGCCCAATAATATCCATAGACCATTTCATAAATGGATAAGGCGAAGAGACTGATGATAATGGCTCGGTGGGTTGGTGAATTGAAGGCGCATGCTTCTGGCATTGCTCGCACTTCCGCGCATACTCCTCGCAATCCGCGATTAACGTGGGCCAGAAATATCCGTACTTTCTTACTTTATAAGCCAAAGAGCGACCTCCGGAGTGATTTCCGCATACTCCGTCATGAATCTCTTTTATCACAGTACGGACCTGCTGTCCAAAAATACAGATCATGTCTGGACCCGAGATGCTTCTTCTGTAGAGGATGTCACTCGAAATGCAGAAACGAGCACTTTTAGCTTTCAGTTTTCGTGCCTCCCACTTATCCGCAGGGAGAGTACCATTAAGGATGTATTCTCTGATGGGTATCCGCCAGTCTGCCCCCCAATCCGGAAGCGGTAGCGCTGGCGGTAGTGGTTCCGGATTTAGCGGTGTTCCGATTAGTGATTCTACTTCGGAGTTCTGCTCAGTTTCCTCGACCCTTTGTGGTTCTTGTTCCACACTCATCCTTCTTTGCATAGACCGTGTAGTCACGAAATTCAGCTCTCCGGTGGCTATACTGGGATGTTCAATTACTTCGACAGGGATCATTCGGCTCACTGTTACTTCGGAACTCGACGCCAATGCCGCTAAGGCATCCGCCGCTGAGTTCTCACTTCGCGGAATTCTAATGAGTTCGAAACTAAGGAATTTTTTACTCAATTCCTGAACCTGAGCGAGGTAAGCTTCCATTCTGCCATCTTTTGCTTCATAATCACCGGAAAATTGATTAGCAACGAGCTGCGAGTCGCAAAATGCCCGTAATTTTGTGACACCTATCCCAACCGCTAGACGAAGTCCTGCAAGGAGAGACTCGTACTCCGCCTCGTTATTCGACGCATTAAATGCGAGACGAAATAACTGTTCAATTACCTCACCAAATGGGGATTGTAATCGGATACCGATCCCGGAACCCTGTCTTGAGGACGCGCCGTCCACATGAAGTATCCAAGGTCCTTCATTTTCTTTGACTTCCACAGAGACCAGGGGTAGTTCGATCAGAAAATCTGCGAGGACTTGAGATTTCAAGCTTGTCCTTGTTCGGAACTGAATATCATACTCGCTTAGCTCAATTGCCCATTTAACCAATCTTCCTGACTGACTTGGACTATGCAAAATTGCCCTTAAAGGTTGCGTGGTTAGGATAATAACCGTATGAGATTGAAAATACGTTCTTAATTTCCGAGCTGAAGTAATTACTGCCAGAGCTAGCTTTTCCATCATCGGATATCTTGACTCCGCTCCCGAAAAAGACTTGCTTACATAGAAAATCGGTCTTTCGTCGTGCCGATCCAATCGCACTAACACTCCACTTACTGCGCTGTCAGAAACCGAAACGTACAAAAAAAGCTCTTCTCCGAACTCGGGTTTCGCTAACACAGGAGGTTTGGATAAATAATCTTTTAGATCTTCGAAAGCCTTTTCGCAATTCTCATCCCAAATGAAATTCTTGTTTGCTTTTCGGAGCAGATTATAAAATGGAAGGCATCTATCGGTTGACCTCGAGATGAATCGGTTCAAAGCTGTTATCCGCCCCGTGAGTCGCTGAACTTCCCGGATATTGCGAGGCGAAGTCATCGCCAGAAAAGCGTTCAACTGTCGCGGATTAGCTTCGATTCCTCGCTCTGTGACAATGTAACCCAAAAACTCTCCCGAAGGAACTGCAAAAGTGCACTGGACGGGTTCAGTTTCATTCCGAACTTATTCAAAATTGCGAAGCACTGCTCTAGATGCTCAATATGCGAAGTGCTTGATATTGACTTCACCAACATATCGTCAATATACACTTCCATAGTTTTACCGAGGAGATCTTTGAACATCATATTCACCAACCGTTGATAAGTGGCTCCGGCATTTTTCAACCCGAACGGCATGACTATATAACAGTAAGTTCCACGGTCCGTGATGAAAGCTGTCTTTTCCTGATCTTCCGGATTCATCAAAATCTGATTATACCCGGAGAAAGCATCCATAAAGGACATCATTTCGTGGCCCGTTGTTGACTCCACAAGTCGGTCGATGTGCGGAAGTGGAAAACTATCTTTGGGACAGGCTTTATTAAGATCGGTAAAATCTACGCAAACCCGCCATTTCCCATTTTTCTTCTTGACTACAACGGGGTTTGCCAACCAATCCGGATATTTGACCTCGCGAATCAAACCGGCATCGAGCAGGCGCTGAACTTCGGAATTTACAGCCTCGGCACGGTCTGGACCAAGTTTCCTGCGTTTTTGTTTTACTGGTTTGAAAGTCGGGTCAATGTTGAGCTCGTGAGAAATGACCTTTGTATCGATCCCAGTCATCTCCTCGATTTTCCAGGCGAAAGTTTTTTTATTCCTTTTTAGAAAAGTTATCAGTTCGACTCGGAGTGTTTCGCTTAATCCTACTCCTATTCTCACAGTTTGATCCGGATACTCCTCATTAACTACCACTGCCTCCACGAGGTCACTGCTTATTTTTTTGACAGGATTTGCAAGCACCTCGAACTGTGGTTGCTATTGAATTTTAAGCTTATGGCTGGACATGTAACACATCCTCGCAGCTCGCTGACTTCCCAGGATTTGCTTTACTCCGGATTTCGTAGGGAATTTCACGAATTGATGATACGTTGAAGGTACTGCTTTCATCTCATAAATCCAGGGTGTTCCCAAGATGACATTATAAGCAGCCGGACGATCGAACACCGTGAACTCGATCATTTTGACTATGCCCTCTGCGGATACCGGGAGCACAATCGTTCCTAGCGACATTGAAGTTTCGCTAGTAAAGGAAACCAAAGGAGATGGTGGCCCCTTTATATCTCGCTTCGATATCCCCATTCTTGTCAGAGTATCGAGGAAGATTAAATCCACCGAACTCCCAGTATCAATGAGAACCCGAGATACTTCGCAATGCGCAATATCGAGTGTTATGAACAGAGCGTCATCGTGTGGTTTATCAAGTTGACTGGTTTCGCTTTCGGAGAATGTTACTTCAGGTAATTGTTCCTCAGTAAGTTTGGCCTTCTTGATAATCCAGGGGGTTGCCCTCCGTTCGTGTTGCTTGATTGCACTAATGGAATCCCGAAAGAGCTTGGATCCCCCCATAATCACCTGGATTTGCTTCTTCGGTCCTTTAAAAACATCAGGGGACTGGATCCTTTTGTTTTTTTTGCTAGGAGGAGATGGTTCCTCTGTTGCTACTGACTGCTCCGACGGATGAGTTGGTTCGAGCTCCGAAATGTCGATTTCGGTTATTTCCCCGGATGCGAACTTGGCAGCCAGTAACCTTCCTAGAGCCTTGCAATCTTTCGTAGCATGCCCATTGACTTTGTGGATTTCGCAGTAGGCGTTTGGGTCACGAATCCACTTGTTACTCGGGAAAGCGCCGTTTTTGCTTTTTGGCGAGAAAGATTGCTTCGCAGGTGAAATCTTCGGAGAACCTTTTGGCTCCTCCCGATCCACTGAGAATGTGCCAGCTCCAGGTTTCCGAGCTTCAGGTTGAACAGGTTTCTTCTGAGGAAGAAGTTGAGCAGGTTTCGGAGCTGCTTTGAACTTTTTAGCTAAAGCGGCCCGCTCTTCTTCCGCGTTTATCCAGTTCGTTGCCCGATGAAGGGCGTCTTGAATAGTGGCTGGTCGGTTAACAACCAACTCTTCCCGGAAACGGGATTCGTGCCATAGACCGTTCTTGAGTGCAGCAATAGCTGCAGAATCAGACAAATTTGGGATCTGGACCATAATCTCTTTAAAGGAGGTGATGTAAGTCCGTAGCGGCTCTCCGGCTCCCTGCGAGAGGTTCCACAGCTGGGCATCAGTTACATCGCTCTTGATGAAGTATCCGTACTGCATGATGAAGGCAGTAGATAGTTGCTTGAAGCTATCGATCGATCCTTCTTCCAGTTGAGTAAACCAGGTCAAAGCCGGTCCGGATAGGTTTTCGGCGAAGAGCTTGCATAAGCCCGCGTCTACTTCGTCTGGCTCCAAATGTACCCGACCTGCGGTCACCTGAAAAGACGCCAAAAATTCTTTGGGATCCCCCTTACCGTCGTACCCCGGAAGTTTGACCTTCCTTTGGTCTCGAATTCGCAGGGCTACAATTCGTGGAGTAAAGGGAGTCCTTCTCGTCTCCTCGATCACTCTATCGACTTCGGGAGCCGAACTGGTGGCTTGATGAACCTTCGAACTCATTTCCCGAATCTGATTTTGTAAGCTCTGGATTTCCGGGTTGACCGGAAGGTGAGGTGGATGGGACTCGGTTTGAGGATGATGCGGGGTACTGCCAAGATGAATGGGGAGAGGTGTTCTGGCTGGAACAAAGGGACCGCCGGCTGAGTTTTGAAGTGCTTGAGTATGACGGGATCCATCTCCAGGTTCACTCTGAGAGCCAAGAGGCAAAGAAGATGGGAGTATGTTGTTCGGGGAAACGAGCCTAGGATCTTGAACCTCCGAAACGTTCGGACCATGGAAGTCCAAATGGCCGCGAGGCCCGCTGGTCCGCAAAGTTCCTGCAAGAATTGTATCAACCCGATCCGCATAAGCATTATGGGCTGACCTGATTTCGGAGCAACTCGCTGTGAGGACTGCGATTTGGCTGCCGCTTTGCTCTTCAAACGCTGAAAGTTTCTCAGACAACGCAGTGGTGGCGAGCTGCTGCTGGTCGGTCTTCTCGGACAGATCTTTAAGCAACTTCTTGATCTCGTCGAGGACTGAAGCCGGATTCGCTATATCTGACATCTTTCCGATTGATATTCTGGAGTAAAAGACTATAAATCCCCTCCTTCTAGCGCCAAATTGTGGATGTCGGAATCCGCAATACAAATTGTATGATGTGTATCGGATCGTCTAGTCTTGCCAATTCGAATAGCAATCGTCAAAAAGAAAACAAAAGAGTGAAGTATGTGTATTCGTTTATTGCTCAAGAAAGATCCCCCTATACAATGGTTTTCGTTTCCTATTTATAATTACATGATTTGAAACCGAAGTCGCTCATCAAGCCGCAGATCTCGCCTTCATTATTGCTTCCGTTTCGAATCTTCCCGATCTAGCAGATCCCGTGAAACCCGCCTTTCATTTAACTCGTGAGATCCCGACGTTTTACTCGAACTGGGCTGGAACTTATTGGGCCGCTCTTTTCGTCCCCTGGACCGGGCCGACGGCCCACTTCGTCTTATTGATCCACTATCTTTCCGGGCCGGATCCGAACTGCGGGATCCGACACCAACACTTTGCATCTCTTATTTAGTATTTTGATTTAAACTTACTAAGGGAAAAAACTGTTTTCTATATGACCTAACATCAAGAACTCAATAATAGAAGATAAACAATAAATTCTAATAACGAAAGTCTGTAATAGTTGAACTCACTAACCTTTTACATATAGATTTGAAGGATTGCTCCAATGGATAAATGTGATAGCCTCCTTCATTTTCTTATATTGCTCCACACGAAGGTTTACCTGAAAACATTTAATTTCATTTAATACATGATTCTGCAAATTTGCTCATAGCTATTGTTTGCATAATTGTGTTTAATACATGATTAAGATCAGAAAATGGCTGCATATATTTCTAAGAATCGTATCAGTTTGTAGCCACTTTTTATCCTCCTCTTATGTGAACGTCATTAGACAAAAGTGTAAATTGAAATTTATATGGAAACTAAATTTATTAGAACTCTTTCCAGTTTCCAGTAAACACAATATATTGATACGATTAGCAAGCATATTCTTAAAGGTTCATCTTCCTACTCAATCAAACAAGTTAAAACTACATCTAATCAAATGTGTATTCGTTGATAAATTATAGTGAAAACAAAATGATGAAAATTCAATTAACAATCATTACCCATAAGAAGATTCGTCTTCCTGATGCTCATTGGCCAAGAACACAATTCGAACAAAAGATTACTCAGAAAGTGATTCGATCGACATATAAAAAATGGTTTAAAGTAAAAATCTGATTCGATTGCAATACACATATTATAAACGGAGACAAAATAGTAGAATTACAGGAGATTTCACAAATTTGACTTAGATCGATCTATGTTCCAAATTTTGTTCGGTGGGGGTTTGTTTTTACTTTTAGATAAGACAACGACTGTCCAAACAGGAAAAAACTATCTAAGAAAAATAAATTCAAGATTGATATTTAATAAAATGGGTTAAGAATCTATAATGGGTCATTATTAATATCCAAATCAGCCCAACAAATATTTACTCGCCAATACTAATGGGCCAGGAAAAGCATTTTTTTTGGTAAACTCATTTTTTCAATTAGCAAATATTTAATTATATATTTATCTTTCATTAGCGATTATTTAATTTACAAGTTATTAAATTTCATAATCTTTAAAATTATAAATTTGGATTATAACTTTTACACACATGATTTATCCTACAGTTCAAATTATTTGTTATGCACCAAACTATACATTTACACATAAATATGTGTTTTCTTATGTTAAATTATTTGAAAATTAAATTAATAACTAATTAAACAGAATATACAAACTTCAGCACCACACTATTTTATAAACACAAAAAATATGTTATATATACTATTATATTATTATAATTCATTAACTCAACAAAAAACAAAATATTAATATAAACTTTAATCAAAAACATATACTAAAAAATACCACCCGCACAACTGTGGTAATTTGTATGTCTATATTGAATTTAAATGAAGACGGGTTATGTCTATATTAATTTGTAAAATGTCTATATTACTAATTTGTATGTCTCCTCAACCACCTATGTCTTATTAATCACAACTTTAGCTATTTAATAAAAAAAATATACATTTTTATGTGTACATTATAATTAATATATATCACAAAACAACAAAATAAACTATTATACCACTTCTTAAAATATAAAATCCCGCACGGACGTGCGGGTCAGGATCTAGTATTAATTAGTTTGAAACAATCAAATTTATTGTCACCAAGAATGAAGGTAAGTAATACAAGGATACAAATAAAAATAAAGAAGATATAAATATATTTTTCCAGAGATTTTATTTTAGAAAGCAAATAAAACCAAATCAAATCAAGGCTTGAAAAATTACGTAACTCTTATAAAAACATAAAACACAAAACCAAAATTATGTGCTCTTTCCAAACATTGCACCAACTTACGAGCCTTTTTCACGACCAATGCTCATCATAACTCAATGGTCTAGACACCATTAGTTTGGGGTTCAACTTCTGATGACTTTTTTGGTGGTGGTGGAGGTGGTGATCTCTCATAATGCTCAGCACCAAGTGAACGATGAGAAGAAGGAAGAAAAGCTTGACGAGATTCCATCGATGGAAAATAAGAGGATGATACATTATCGTCAAGAAGTTTCCGATTGGTTTGAGCATGCCCGATCATTACCATAGCTAGGAGAATACAACATATTAAGAGATGATTCTTCCAAAAAGCCATTTTTTTATCCGGTGATCGATTGAGTTAATTTATTTGCTCATCAACTATTGCGAGGTTCCATCTCGTTATGTCTATGTATATAGCTCACAAAGTCACAATTGAGGGTTCCCACTAACTATTATAATAGATTGATTTTTTAGAAAGATTTATTTTTGGAGATACGATTTTCGATTTCTCACACATTAAACTGCACGAAGTATTATTATTGGATATATGATTTAGATTTATTTTTGGGTTTGATGGTTTAAGAAAAAAAGTCGTGTGTGTAAGTTGAATTTTATCGGATAAATCATAAATTACAGAGAAAAAGAACCATTCCACATGAAAGTTTTAATGTCCGGTTCGGGTAAGGATGATTTGTCCAAATAAAGAACACGACCAAAGATAAACTATTAAACCGAACCGGAGATGCTACATATAAAAGAGATTCCGGTTCTATCTAGTAGTGTAGCCATGGCTTCCTTCACCTGTTCTTCTCCATCTTCGATCTTGCCTGTAAAAATCTCTCCTTTGTTTCTCTTATATCTGACAACATATCATCCTCCGATTTCGATGTGATTTCTCATTTTCGATTTTTGTATCTTCAGATTATTGATACAAGAAGCGGGAATTTGCGCTGCACATTTCGCTCTCAGGTTTTGTTTGGTTGGTATCTATACGAATTTGTGGGTTTTTGGGAAGAATTTTGAATGAATCTGGTTGAATTTTTCAGGTTTCTTGCGGGATTCAGAGGGATGATAATGGACGCCGTGTGTGGCGGAGGAGAACATTGGTAAGCACTAGACTTGAGATTTAGGTCATTTTCCAGTTCCAAATCAGGAATCAAAATCAGGGTTTTGCTTTACTTGGAGACAATTTGCTTAAAGTTGCAATTTTAACAGACTGAGGATGAGTGTCTGAGTTTGAAATTTGTCTCATTTCTGTGTCTGAGGCTTTATTTCTACTTAGTCGTTACTTTGTATGTATATTCAAGTAACCATGGTCATAGTAAATCGATATGATGCATAGAAGGAGACGTTTTAAGGATTTCTAGGTGGTACTAGGATTTCTAGTTTACTTTTTCTTGATTCCAAATTAGCGTTAAACACACCTGTTTCATGAGTTTCTTTGTTGAACTTTGCTCATTTCAGACACTAGCTTAGTTCTTATACTGTTGATGAACTCAAAGAAACACGGTTTTAACCTCTAGATATTGTTTACTTAGTGTATATTCAAGTAACCATGGTCTTCTCTAAATGGTTTATGCTACATACAAGATCATTGAGATTGTCTTATTTGAGATACTGAGATTTTTAGGTGGGAGTTACACATTATTAGTGATCTTGGTACTTGCTCTATATTTTACAAACTATCAGTTTCTGTAGTTTGATCGTATCAGGTTCAATGGCTCATGAGGTTTTGAGATTTCATTATTACCAAAGCCAGAACAATGCAAAGCCTTTGTTTATTTTTAACCTCTACATGTCTTTGTCCTGTTTGGTCTGCAGACGAAGAAGGACGATATGTTGCGTTACAAAATGCAAAGAGTTCCATTTGTGGAGGAACAAGTGAGGAAGATAAGAGAAGTTGGGAAAGTAATGACAATGGACATAGAGCAGCTTCTTTTGAGGGAAGACAATCGGTTTGAATTTGTCAATAGCGTAGCAGCTGAAGCAACAGAGTACGTGGAAAAGAACAGAGACGAATATGGAGGTTCCAAAAAAGCCATCTTTCATGTTCTAAGCAACCGTGTGAACGACCTCGGCTTTGATCGCCCTGAGGCTTATGTAGAAGCTGATCCTTACAAGCCCGGTCCTGGCTATTTGTTGGAGTATTACACATGAGATCTTATTACAAGAGTTTCAAAGTACTTCACACCTTTATTGTTGTATTACCAAACCAAATCAATGCATTCACAGCTTTGATTTCTTTTTTTTTTTTGCCAAATTTCCTTATATTTATTTAGAATTTACTACATCGATGAAGACGAATGTCTAATGACAAGAGTTGTTTAGTAAAATTAATGGTCTAGTGATTTGTGGTGAAGGGAGGTCGTCGTGAAGGAGGAGGAGGAGGAGGAGGTACATATGGCCTCGGTCGTGGTGTGACTGGACGTGGGGACCAGTCCCCATAGTCTATGATATACTCCGTTGGTTCCTTTGTCACAACCTCATCAACCTTTCAAAACAAAACTCAATTGTTTTTAATTTATCATTAAAAAAACCATACATTATCAGAAAAAGGAAAACTCTATTTACTTAAGGACACAACATCTTTTTATAATTTCTTGGAAATGTAATAATAATTTTTTTTATTCAATATAAGTATATAACTGAATTATTCATGATTTTTAAAGCATACTTTTATATTTTTGTGATGTTCTACTAACTATTGTTTTTTCTATAGGCACGTACTTGTGTTCTCGGATTTGTAGGGTTGGCTGGGCCTGGGTTGGGCGGTCGTGGATGCGGCCCAGTGTAGTCCATCTCCAGATCGATTCTTCTTCCACTCATGACCAACTCTTTAACCTTTTTAAATCAACAAGTTATATAGTGTATCTTTTTTTTTTGATGCATATTTGTAATCAATATATAACGCTTTTAGAACCGTGATATTGTTAATACCTTGCGGTTGACGTTGTCAAGATGCAAAGTCTCAACGATCCCTAACAAAATATGAAGCATATTTATTCAAATCAGAGTTATATATTCATTGATCTATATAAAATGTTAAAGCTACTTAAGTATACATATGTTAGTTGATCTATATACCTGAAGAAAACATTGGGAGAACGAGCAAGAAGGATACTAGTATCACCAACTTCATCTTGAAGTCAGATTCTCTAAAAAATATTTGCTTTGGTGATATGTGAATTGATTTTTATAATTTCTATGAGTTGTGAGATACATATATATATATATATATATATATATATATGTAGACAGAGATATTTATATATAGTAGTCAATCGTAATTATGAAGGTAACGCATCACACTGACTTGATGAATCCGTAATTAACTAGATTATGGACAATCAATATAGTCAAAGCAAAAACGAATAAGTGAATCCTCTCTATTATTCTTTCCTCTCTTGAGAGGGTCCATATGTTTCAATTTAGGAGGTGTATTCAATAACTAAATCTAGAAAAATTAAAATAATAATAAAAGTTATAGGTTTTTTTAATATATATTTTAATATATTTTGTTTTAGAAAAATGAGATTTCGTTTTTCGCCTTTATTAGTTTAATTATGATTAAATTCCAATCAAATGACATTTGGCATCAAACAATTATATTAAACATTGAGACCAAATAAAAAGAAATTTAAAACGCTATCTTGTAACTAATTGAGACCAAATTTTAAAAAATTTAAAACGCTACTCCAGATCAGTTTCATATTATTTATCGTTTTAGTTCATTTAATACAAATTATATAAAAAAAATTTATTGTTTTAATTAATACACTATTTTTTTTTAGATAAATAATTAATAATCTAAAAAAGTAGAAGCAAAACGAGAACATTTTTATAAATATGCATAGTAATAGTAAATACAAAACGATAAGTAAATATGAAACAAAATTTTCTCTTTAAAACGACAAATAAAACGAAACGGATGGAGTATCTTGTAACTTTTGAGACGCATATATTTGGTCGGTTCACTAAACAAACATCATAAAGCTAAAACTGCATGGGATGACGTTTGTTATCCAAAGGAAGAGGGAGGTTTGCGTTTATTTCGTTGAGAAGAAAATAAAATGTGTTATCCACTTCAATATTTACAAAATAAAAACTAAAAGCAGGTCGATATGAATCATATGATAAGTGGTCAAGTGGAGTAATTTGCTAAGAGTGAATATTACAATACTAAATATTTTTGATTCGAACTAGAACCATGAATACTTACTGCATACATCGTGCAATTTTGAGTACATCAATTTCGTACAAATAAAAAAGAAACACTTGTACGTTTTTTTTATACGAAGGTAAGCTTGCTAAGCCTGATATTCACAATTTCCATAGCCTGCAAATATTATGTAAAACAAGAAAATCAATTAGTCAAAATTAGTTAATTTTCCTAAAATATATTTTAATTAATGATAACATACTTGGATCAATCGTAGTTATCTCTCCAGTGTTGTCGAAATCGCAATCAAACTCGTGTTTCTCCATAGTTTGGTAATACAAGTTCATGGCGTACTCCGAATGGGCTTTTACTGTGTTCGGTAAAAAACAAAGCCCACCTTCATTAATGGGCCTACAGTCCAAGCCCAATCCACATACGTAATCAATGTTCCTTTGTAAAGCCACCGTCTCAGCACCGGCCTTTGTAACACACCACCGCTTCTCCGGCGATGCTCGAACCGGCGTTGCCGTATTATTCTCCGGATTCGATGATCTAAACTGTCAATTTACACAACCAAACTCGTTAACATATATGAAAGTAAATAGTGTTTTGAATTGTGGCGGTGATTGATTACCGTTGGCCGGAGGATTCCGATGTCATAGATCGGAGTCAAATCAGATCGGAAGATGCCGAAATTACGCTCCGACGTTGGTCCCGATTTAAGATTTTCATTGAAGAGCGCGAAAATGTAAGTTTCAAAAGTCCGATTTGGCATCAATGGAGTTCCGGTACCGGAATTTACACGCGTCACCACATTCTTGTTAAATTCAGCCGCTGTAGCAACATCAACGCCGATTTGATCTATATCTCCCTCCGATGGCCATCCAATTTCGCCAATCACGATCTCAACATCTGAAAACCCTAGCTTATCCATGGCGGAATAAACCGAATCAAGCTGAGCATCGAGCATGTTTGTGTAGAGAAGCTTCGGGTGTTGATCGAATAAGCCTGGATTAGGTCTAAAGAGAGCGAAATCGAGAGTTTCGATTGAGTAACCGAAGAACGGGTAAGGATTCACGACGAACGGAGAAGAAGTAGATCGGAGGAAGCTAAGGAGAGGCTTAAGCACATTTGTGTCGTAGCCTCGCCGGAATTTAGCGGAAGACGGTGGGGTTGTATTAGTGAGGATTCCTAAAGAATGTGGCGTTGAGATTTGGATTCGACGGTGGAGAGAGGTGGACACTAAGGCGGTGTGGAGAGATTGCATTGCTGGGATTAAGGTTCTGATGAGAAGGTGATTGGCGGTGGAGATGACTTCGTTTCCGACGAGGATACGGATGATGTTGGTGGATGGGAAGTGAGGTTGGATTTGATCGGAGATCCATTGTTTGGCGGAGGAGAGGTTGGTTAAGTGTGGGATTTGGTCGTTGGGGACGGTTACGGTGATGGCGATACCGGTGTTAGCAAAGGCTTGGAGGATGTGAGGATCGGTGTCGAAGAGGCGGATGCGGTTAATGACGGTGGAATGGAGGAGGAACTCCGCTACTTGTTGCGGCGGAGGGAGGTTGTTGGCAAGTGTGCCGTAGTTTACACCAATGCTAGCTTCAGCTCCTGATCATGACCAAAAATAACCGTTGATTTCAAATATCAACATATATATACTACATAAAAAGAATAAAAAATAACATATATATTTGGTTGGCTAACACAAGATAATAGATTTCACTATTTCAGAATGATTATGAAAAAAGGTGAAGTAAAAAGATTTAAAATGGTAAAAGAAAAATACCTGTTGAGAAGATTATTAGAAGTCCAGCCATAGTAATGGAAGAAATGGAGAAAAATGGTAGCACGTAATTCATGGTTAAGTTAAAACATCAAAATATGTGTTTGTGTGCTGGTATACTACTATGTGTTTGTGTGCTCACCAAAATATGCTTTGCTTTGTCTTCGGGAGATTACCAGCGGTCGAATGCGTCAGCATTTTGACGGCAAAGATAATTTACATTTTTTTTTTTTTTCGGTTCCAATTTTACTCTTGAATGTTTTAAACTATTTGATAAAGTGAAATATAATCCGCGGTGATATACACTATATCATACTTCGTTTCCTTCTTATCTAATCTACATAGGAATAATAATTTCTTGGAATGGAAGAAAAGAACTATGCAAGTTTCTTGCTCGCACTAGAAACAAAAACCATAATAGAGAGTTATCTTAAAGAAAGAGTCATGCATAAGCATAAGAAAAATATAATACTCCATTCTACAAATAAAACCAAACAACACAATATGAATCTAACGATCACAAGACTGTTATCAGTAAACTCAAATTTGCATGATTTTTATAAGTTTCGTTTATAATGTGTAAGGGCGATTCAAACCATGATTCAAGGTTTTCTACTACCAGTCTATTATGTACCAAAACAAAATTGTAATGGAGAGAAAACAATGGTATATACACGAAAAAAACGGGCCTCAGTTACATTTCCCTATATATTATTTACTTACAAAACAAACCAAAAAAAACACAGACAAGTATAATACTAATAATTTTTACGATTAAAAAAGGCAAAAATCTGAGTAACCCCTTCTTCTTTTCGTTTTCCTTCCCCTGAAGCAATTCCCAGCCTTCAGGTCAGGCTAGCTCCAAACTTGGTGAGACTCAGCTACGAACCACCGGGTCAAAGACCGGGCCAACGTGTTAGGCCCATATGAAACTCCAAAACAATGGTTCTAACTTCACCACTTGCCGAGTTTGTACGACGACGTGTAAAAGGAGCTTTTAGTAGTCGTTGGATTTCAAACGGGAACAGGCAAACCATAGTTGTGAAACAATTTGATCCGTCCATCCCACCCGCCGGTGACTATAACCAATCCCCATAGATGCGATGACTCCGACGTTCTCCGGCACGACGATCGGAGGAATTTGTAATGAGATCTACGGATCGCTTTAACCGGAGAAAATGAGCTCGCTAGCTTCTCCTCCGGCCAAGTCGCAGATCCTTTGGGCGAATCGAGAACGTACTCGCGCCCCAATGAGAAAAGAGATGGCGATAGCTCTGATCCGCCGGAGAGTACAGGCGTGAATCCACACCACGGGATAGCGACTGAGACATCTGCAGAGAATTTTTCGAATGATCGGATTTTAAGTCGTTTGGTGTGAGAGAAAAAACCAGGAGATGGCTGTTCAGGGTCGTGTCCAACGCAGTTCCAGACGTAGACTGAGGAGTCGTCACACGCCGATACTATATGCTTCCCGTCTGCTGTAAAAGATGCCGATATCTGGTTTCCGGCATTTCGAGATCCTAGAAGATAAACACATTTCAGAATTTGCATATTTCTGTTCCACTAATGTATGTAGTATATCTTTTAGAAGCATTACCTTTGTATTTGTGGACAACGTTGCGACCGCTGATGATCCTCACTTGTGAATCTGCGGATGCCACCATGACTCTGCTTGGGTCGGTAAAATCAAACTGCAGAAGAAACTAGCAGAGCATCATTATAAAATATTCAAAATCTTGGGAGACAAATTCGTCTGATTTGAGAAGAAATATGCACCTGAAAGCCAATTATTCGTTTATTCGACGACTTCTTTTTGTTGTGCAGACATATATGACCATCGAGTTGAAGGCAGTGGCCTGAACCAGAAAGCAAGAGAACAATGTTATAAATCAGGTTTCTCAGAAACATTTACTCAAACTCTGGAGTTTTTTAAGACAAGCCCATGTAGCTGGGTGTAACTTATGAGCATTACCTGATAAATTGTAGAAGCGACAATCGCTTGTCAAAGTTCCGATAATCACTGCCTGAAACAGAAAAAGTATTCTTGTTTTAGAAAAAAACCTGATTCTGAGTCAAGTCGATAAAAAAAAGGATTTTTGGTCCTGTGTCACACCTGTCCATCTGGGCGATAACAAACTGCGGTTACAATGCCTCTAGCGTCTGCCCAATCTACAACTTGGCACTGAGAAGCTGACCAGATACGAACTTTTCCATCTATCGAACCACTGATGAAGTGATCATCATCAACCGGGTTAAAGTGAACAGATGTAACTGCAAATATGCAAAAAAAAATAGAATGATCAACTAACAAGGGAGGAAAGGAAAGAAATACACAACAATGCCATTTTACAGACGGAGAAGAACATTACCATAGTTACTGTGAGAAAAGATTCCAAGACAGTCCTCATGGCCGATCTGCCAAAGCCGAACACTATTGTCTACTGAAGCTGACAACAGACGCTGCCACCAATATCACAGAATGAGCAACTCGGTCTAGTTTTCTGTTCAAGATTACACATACAGGGACTGAATCTACGTTCTTGTGTGTTACAGATCTCAAAACATAACGAAATAGGCAGAAAAAAAAAGGGTGTCTAGGTAGTTCTAAAAGCAGCTCCTTATGATTCTAAAATCAAGCTTAAGACGAGGGACGTTAACCTAGAACTCGGTTCAAAGCATCAATGTAAAAAATAAAAGGAAGTTCAAGAAAGCAAGCTCACATTGTTCTTGGACCATGAGATGTCAAGGATATCACCACTATGACCAAGAAACTCGTGAAGTGGTTTATCAAGAACCCGGAAAATCTTTGGGGGAATAATAACACAAGCAGACTCTGTTGTCTTCCTTGGACTCATCAAAGAACCAGTAATACCATCCTTTTCTACAGCCACAGGTCTCAACTCAGAGAGTTTGCTCACTTCAAAGTATATACAAGAAGGATCAATCTTAGGAACGTCATGTTCTTCACATCTTTCATCTTCAACAACACTCCAAACCCGCAAAACTCCGTCTTCACCAGCACTTGCAAGATACCTCCCATCAGGACTAAACTTCATAGCGAGAATCGCTCCCTCATGAGCTTGTATCTCTTGACCTTTAAAAAGAGCAGAAAGCTCCTTAGCCTCTTTCTTATACTCTTTCACCTTAACTCTCTCAATCCTACTCCCGCAAACCGCAACTTCACCACCATTATCATCTCCCGCACTCTGCTTATTCCGCATTTTGTACAACCGACTCAACCATTTCTCCTTAACCCTCTTCATAATCCCACCTACATCCCTTTGCTCCGCAGCAACCATCGGGTCTGGTAACGCTTCGCCATTTTCCTTCACAAACCTATCCGTTGAACCCGATACAGGTGATGACGATACAGAACAAAGACTAGAGCTAATCTCATCATCATCATCATCACCAAAACCCAAATTCCTCAAAACCATTCCACTATCTACTTCTTCCTCTTTCACAATCCTATCTACACTCTCACTTGGACTAAACACAGAAGAATCACAACGACAAGAGCTAAACTCATCATCATCAGATTTCAAACTCATCAAAACCGCTGATTCATTAACCGACCTCGATAAACAATTCACATTACCTGATTTATCTTCCTTCACAGTACTACTTAAACCCATCCAGTTCAAAAACTTCTCACGACGCTCCTCAGTGTTTCCTGGGCTTTTGATCCAAACATCGTATCGAAATTCCCCAGAAATCGACGATAGAGATTCATCGTACTCGATTCTACAAAGACTTGTACTTGAACAAGATGCGATTTCTTCGAGAGCATCGAAAAATCGAGTTTCTTCTTCTTCTTCTTCTTCAATTAGAGATTCCATTTCTCCCTTTGGTCTCAATTCTCAAAGCTGCCTGCAGAATATAAACCAACCGAGAAAATTTTAAAATTAAGAAATTAGTAAACTAATCCATAGAGGAAGATAAGAACATTGAAAAATGGAAAAATAAAATAAAATAAATATACCTAGAATCGATCGGACAAACATAGATCCCGATCAAATTGTTAAATAATCGACAAGGTTAAAAAAAAAAAACGAAATCTGAATCGAATTTTTTTTTTTTACAAAATTGAAACCATTTAAAAACAGAAACCAAAGCTCCATAAAAATTTAGAAGAAATCAAAATCATACAAAATTCAGAAACTATAAAAACAAATTAATCCAACAACACATGCAGATTTCGAGATGAAATAAAAGGGTTTTTTTTTTTGTTTTCATTATTATTAGTTTTCTTACATGTGGAGATTTATGATGTTGGAGAGCTCAGAGAAACAAAGAAACCATGAGACAACAACATCTAGAAGAACTTGTTCTTTTCACTCTTCTCTCTCTTTTTTATTTATTTATTTTTTCTGGTTTTTTTAACAGATTTTGGAAGAAACAAAAAAAAAAAAAAAATTGATTTCGATATTTTCTTTTTGTCTGAGCGTGTAGATTGAAGGAAAGAGAGAATTTGTGGCACAGAGGAAGAAGAAGGAAGAAGAAATAATTATATTTTGGAAGATTGTCCGAATCTGATTTTGGGAGGACATTTAATTTCCTTTTATTAATAATAATATTGTGCGGACAAATTAATTATGTTATCTTCCTCTTTTTTTTCTAATTTTATCCCCTCTACCCAGTGTTCAAGAAAGCGCTAGGCGCTAAGCGGGCGGTGACTCAGTGCCTAGCGCCTAGAACGCCTAATCGGGGCCTAGGCGATTTTTTAGGCGGTTTAGACGTTTATAACATAATACAACATTATAAATATGATATTATATATAAAAGTTATATAAAATATTAATATAAAACTAAAAATTATGAAATTATAAACAAAAACTAGATAAAATATTTATTTATATTTATATTAAACAATATATGAATATTTATAACTATATATATATATATATATATATATATATATATATAACTCTAATTGAAATTGAAAAAATACATTAAACAAGATCTATGTAATTTTAGGCGGTCAAGACGATTATCTAGGCGTCGAATGAGAGCCTAGCGTCTAGTCGGGGCCTAGGCGACCGCCTAGACCGCTTTTTAGAACACTGCCTCTACCGTCATTTTAATTCCCTTTAATTATTATTCTACTCTACTTTTTTTTTATCATATGTTTATTATTTTCCCAATACAAGCATACAAGATTAGACGGAAATGTGGAATATTATAAAGAATAATATACTAAGGGTAATAATCTAGTCAAACAAGAAACAACAAATTTAGCACACGAGAGACTGTTGAATTTTCTCAATACTATATAATGAGTTTCTTTATTTGTTTCCTAATAGAAAACACCCAAATTCACATCTTCAAAAGATTAATTTAAGAGAAAAAGAATTAGGATTAGCATACTTATGTGTAAGTACTTCCTTAGATTATCACTAGAATGTTATAATATTAAATTTGTTTATATTTTTTAAAACCAATTTAATAATTGAAACAGCTGGAATTGCTAATGGTAAAATAAATTTTAAGATGTGTCATTCTATGGTTGAACAAAAAGAATAAAATAAAAAATGTGTCATTGTATATACTTTTGAGTTTTTATTATTGATTATTAGATGATTACACGCTCTACTAGCAAGTTGATTTTGTAAAAGTTTTGTAGTTTTCTTTACTCTAACACATATTAAAGATTATAAATATTGTTATTTTGTTGCAGTTAAAAATGTTTATTGTGACCAAATCAACTTTCGCGTCACAATTAGTAGAAAAAATGTTTGTTTAGTATTTTGATGAATAATTTTAAAAAGCGAAAAACTCTGATATCTAGTTTGAAATTTCCGTTATGATCAATATAGAGGTAAAGGAGACACTGCATAAATTTCAAAGAACTATAGTAACAGAGAACTTTGACATAACCAAAAAAAAAAAACAAAAAAAGTTATAACCACAGAGAGAATCGGTAATAATTTAATCTCTAACCAACTCTCTTTCCCATCTTCATAGCTCACATGTCACATGGATGATTTCATCTTGCAATAATTTTTTTGCAAGCAAATCCCAAAAACTGCCCACAGGTTACCAAACACTCAAAAACACAATCCTGGTTAGTATCTAAGAATACAGACCATCCAAACAAACAAAAAAGATCAACTTGTATATGTAGCGGTAGTAGAGACTGATCGGTCGATGATTAGTGTAGTTTCCAAATTTACAAAAGTAAATATACTGTTTTATCAAATAATCTTATCAATCAATCTAGTAACCTTTTTTAGCTATTGGTTGCATATTTTCATTTATATGAAGTACATTAAAAAAAAAAAAAAAAAACTCATCAAATGTTGCACAAACTTGTCAAACGAGAGATGCTGATAATTGACACTTATGATGCCAAAGTCTGAAATGAAAATTTGACACTAACAATCGGACATTGTAAGTACCGAAAGATCAGAAAGTATTAATGACTTATTTTTCTAATTCGAGATCTTAAGAAAGAATATTGGATTAATTACCATCGTTTAGTTTTAGAAGAAAAAAATAGTATTGTTTTACGTACGTTAATTAGTATTTGTGAACGGTCAAGCATAACATCTAATGTTTAATTTTTAACAAAAAAAAACATCTAAGGTTTAATAAGAAAAGTGCATAGGAAAAGTAAGCATGGTGGATTAGGTGCTTCATGCTTGCATACGACTTATTTATAATATAATGCGTTTTTTCCAAGCTTACAAAACAAAAAACAAACAACAACTAATCAAAAGAAGAATCTAATCAAAAGTGCATACTAGATTTAGATACCGATAGATTTAGATACGCGAGTAATGAAATTTGATGTACTAAATCAACTTGATACACACACAAGATAATATAAAGAGATAACATATATGATCGGAGGAAGTGATGAGGGAGAATCAAATGTCCTTTTTCTTTCACGAATACTCTTAATAAAACTTAGTTTTTTTTTTGTCGGTAATGGAATTTGCTTAATTAAAGATTGATGTAGAATCTCTCTTCAATTCCATAACAATGTCAAGACTAGAAACAAAAACTTGAGTTAGCCAAATAATTTTCATATGGAACCACTTTAATTTTCTTAAAGTATCGAAACATTATTATGATCCGATAAATCTAAGATTAGTATTTTTATTTATGTTCAAAGTATATCGTATTTTTCCCACTTAATGTTTCAATATGTTTTACTTTAAAAAATGAACCTTCAGAAAATATTTGATTTTACCATATTTTATTATATATTTATCAATATTTACAAACATGTTGTTGGATTGGAATTCACTTTGTTCCTACAAAACATAATGTACCCAAGCTTAATTCAGATTGTATGTTAATCGTATGACAAAACATATATGTGTATACATGCATATAGGCTATAGCAGCCTCGGATTCGTCTTTTCGTAAAGAAAACTTAACGACCAATCAAATTTTTCTTACTATAATTACTGGTTCTAAAGTCTTTGAAAACCACTTCTTGAACTAATTAATTATTTACGCGTTGCGTACGTGTGTGTCTATTATAAAGATTAGGTAAGAGACATATATGAGCATTTAGAGCGAAACAAAACCAACTATAAAATTGATGCAAGATGAGATCACAAATTTTGTCCATTGGTTTTTGTGAAGGAGTAATATTTGAGCCCGACACAACTCCTTATATTGGAGCCCGACACAACTCCTTCAGAATTTTTATTTCATTTCCTGACAAGTTTGTTTAGATTTTTTGTTCGGGTAATTACGGTAACAAAAATAGATCATAAGCAATACTATCATCTTTTACAGATTCTTGTTACTAACTCGGTAACATATAAATTTCATCATTTATCATATAGAAAAAATAGAAGTTTTTAACTATTGTACCTACCGTTATGTATAATTGTTTAGAAACAACAGAAAAGTCAGCTGTAACATTTAAGTGGGGAAAAAAAAGCAAACTAAAATTAAATTTATGGAATCATAGTAATGTTCCGATACTTTATGAAAAGTGGTTCCCTATGAAAATTATCTGGCTAACTCAAAATTTTGTTTCTAGTCTTAAAAGTCAAAACCACTGTCAATTGTGTCAAATTATATTAAATTATTCTAACTATCAATTTCGCCGAAATCCATTACACTATATATATGTCTACATTTCAAACACAACTATAATGCTTTTGGAAATATGATTACAAAACCAACGTTAGGGATTTGTTTCAAAGATCATTTCAAATAAGTCTCTTTGATCAAACGGTTTAAAGATTAAGGCAGTGAATGGAAGCATATATGCGGGACGGATTTGGAGGGTGCGGGACGGATTTTCACACATGTTACCATTCAAGAAAAAAATAATTATTGAAATACCAAAAGTGCAATAACGCACTTGTCCAAATAGTGCAGAATTTTTTTTTTTGTTTGTTCTGTTTTCTTAGAAAACGCACTTGTAAACATTCCACACTCTTTTTGATGTGGGTTAGAGTGTGTTTTTCATTTTAACTATTATTTTCTATTATTATGTAATTTAACATATTGATTTATAATATATGGTTTAAATTTTAAAACAAAAAATTAAATTTATATTTTGATCAATTTGTGTATTACTAATGATTTATAAATTTATGTTATTGTTTATTTATTAACAAAAAATTAATTATTAATATATATATATATATATATATATATATATATAAAACCGCACTTGTCCCGCAAATAGCTTTTTTCACCAATCAAATTTTATTTCGTACCGCTTATTTTATACAAACCACACTTGTTCCGCAAATATATTTCTCCCGCACGTCCCGCAGTTGAACCGTACTGCAATGTAATACCGCACTTCTCCCGCACCGCAAAACGCAGTTACCATTCGGAGCCTAAGTTAAAAGTAGAGAAATAGTAAACGTCGGTAACCAAATGGGACCAGATCCTACTCGTGGCAACATTATTGTCATCATTTAACCCTTAATCAACGACAATTACACACAAGGAATCAAAAGGAGTGTGAGTTAAAAGCAAAATGAAATTTTTAAAAACAGTAAAAGGAGAAGTTATTGATGAGTAATATTAGGCCTGGGCATTCGGGTCCGCGGGTCGGGTTCGGGTAAAACCCAATCGGGTACGGGTAAAACCCGATCGGGTACGGGTATGTCGGGTATGGTAATCTAGGACCCAATAGGGTAAACTGAAAACATCGGTTCGGGGTCGGTTCGGGTATGGTCGGGTTCGGGTCGGTTCGGATATCAGATTTGAGACCCGCTAAAAACCCGAAAAAATCGGGTTCTACGTATTTGGGGTCGGTTTCGGGTATTTTCTACCCGATTACACTGTTATGTATATTTTTTACCCTATTGTGTAAGCTTTACACTCCAATAGAACATAACAAAACTTAAAGCATTTAAATAGGAAAGTCTTAAACATCCATTACACATGATTCAAATCCAAGAAAAAAGACAAATTGACAAACCGGATTGCCTAACAAGTTCATGGCATAAAAACAGAAAACTAGAAGTAGACAATATCACTCTCCTTGACCCGCATGAACCTATACAAGTAAACCAATGTCAGAAATTAGAATGCAATCTCACTCTTACATAAGCTATGTATCTTACTCAGTCACTAATGACTAACCTTTGTATCTCAATCATTCATTCTACAGACTATCAGCTCCTTGGCCTTGCATATTAAAAACAAATTCTGGTTCACCTAGTTCATTCATGCTCTATAAAAAATGAAACAGAGGGAGTATATTATACTGTCAAACTGACAACAAATTGATTTTGAGAAAATATATAGTTCTCTAATTCTAATACTCTGTAACATAAATAATACAAATAAACATTATAAATACATCAATAAACAATAAAAATGTTAAAAATGTATTATAATATGTTAAGATGGATTATTGGCAAAAACCACTACAAGAAATATCTCCATTATTAGCTTGAGAAAAACGCTATTATAAGTAATCAATAGCGTTTTCATAAATGCTATGTTAGGCCCCTGTTATGGTAGAATCCCCCCATACGATATCGTCAGATATGTATGCTATCTTAGAGTATTCTACCATAGCATTATCTAAACGCTTTGTTATCAGGATTTTCTATTTTTTAAAAATTATGTAATTAGTCATTTTCCATGCTATGGTAGGTGTTTATACTATAGCTATGTTAAAAAGCTTTAGTTTTAATTTTTATAGCTTCAGTATATGCTATGATTCAATATATCATAGCGTTTAATTTAAAGAAAAAATTATGTAATTACTCGTTTTGAAAGCTATGATAGACTTTTCTAACATAGCAGTTTTTCTAACAGTTATTTAGATGTTATTATATGCGTTTTGATCACAATTGTTTCTGGTTGAGATAGACACCAAACCTGTTTCATATAATACCCTGATTCATCAATGATTCGAAATCCAACATACATTAAACACTAGCATAAATCCAGAACATACACAATAAGTCTCAAACCAAGTTCTACTTAGTATCCAAAACGAATTAGTAGCATAAATCCAGAACACACACAACAAGTCTCAGACCAAGTTCTACTTAGTATCCAAAACAAAGTAGTAGGAGGACAGAAAACCTTAAGACATGACCACTTTGTCCTCAGGCCATGCAATGACTGTGCCAAGGGCATCTTCCATTATGGCTATTTCCTCTTATGGCCTCCAAACTGATGCATCGCTGACTTTCACAATATCTACCCATACTTTGACAGCATCAAGACCCAAGGGAACAAAGTGAACCTTCTGTGCTGGATCGTTTGTAGCCCAGCGTCCTTCAGCAACAACTCGCTTCTTTCCAGTAATATCCATCAACTTGCACTTCTTATTTTCCTTGGAAACAATTGGATTAAGACGCTGCCATGTAAACAATATGAACCAACACTTAGAAGACTTGACATAAGAAACTTAATTCATAACATTTACAAAACTTATACCTGAGATTTCCGGAGAGGAGATTGTGGATTTGGTAGATTTTTCTTTATAGGAGAGCTTTGAACACCTGCATCCTCAATAGGAGATTCTGAACCTGTTGCTGGAGATTTAGACAATGTTGATGCTGCTTTTACCTCTGTCGCTGCAGACTTTGTCTCATCTGAAGATTTAGAGCTTGATGGCCTATCAGTTGATGCTGATTTCTGAAGAGGAGATTTCTGACCAGTTGTAGTTGTAGGATTTTCAAAAACAACTTTATTCACAGGCCATGATACAAAAGCCATCAAGCAGTCCTCAAGGTATGTCATTTCAATTGTAGGCCTCCATATAAATGTTTCAGGTATATGCACAGAATCAACAAAAACTTTGACAGCCATTGGTCCTAGAGGAAGACCATTAACTAATGCAGTTGGTTCTTGTGTCTGCCAACGACCCTCAGCAACAATCACTTCATCTGTAGACAAATCCAACAGTTTACATTTGTTCAAAGAATTTGTTCTTAGGCCCTGTCAAACACATTCAGAAAAAGGATAATTAGTCTACTAAAGCTCATAAAAATATCAACTCATTAGCAGGCTGACCAAAACTTACCGTTGGCGCAATGTCTTCTATATTAAGCTCTTTGTCTACAAGAACACACTTAGAGGCTGGCCATGCAATAATTTGTCCAACAGCTTCCTCAATAGTAAACATTTTTGTTGCAGGTCTCCACAGGAATGCATCAGGTTTAGTAGCAGTTTCAACCAAGACTTTGAGATCTGTCTGGCCTAGACGACAGTCATTCACTATGTCATCAGGATCAGAAGAAAGAATACGGCCCTCACCAATGTTATCATCAGAACCCGACCAGTCAACCAACACACACTTAGGGTGTGCTCTTTTGTTTACACTCTACAAAATGTTAATAACAAGTATAGGTCAGAAGGGAAAACTGATCTAACAAAACCAAGCAGCAGGAATCACTTACTCTTGCAGCTGGGTTTTCACCAATTTCAGCTTCATGTCTCTGTAAAATGAACAAGAAAGTCAATTCAATAACTATTTCAAACATCAGTTGCTTAATGAATAATCTGGGAACTCTTAAGGTTTCTAACCTGATTCTTCATTCTGCTAATTTCATCCTCCAACTCATGCACCTTTTTTACTAACTGAATTTGCTTCTCTTGCATATCAGTCATACACTTGGTCTTCACCTGGAAACAAGCTAGTTTGGTTTTGCTCATGCCTCTACCCATTGCTCTCAGCCTTCCAGGGTTGTCAGGTCCTAGCAGTTGAGAGAGGTGATCCTCCTCTGGATTTGTTGTATCTGTTGGAGCATCACTTCCAACCAGCTCAGCTGCCTTCCTCTGTAAAACAACATCCATATATTGTGGAAGAGAAGCAATGGAAAATAATCTAGAAGACAGTCAAACATATTTTCAACTTACAATCTTTTCTGCAGCATTTGTATTCACTGGCGTACCATGCTTTTTGATACGCGACTTCACCCAAACCTTTAGCCTTGTCACTTCAGATGGATCTCCACTCTCAATTTTCTGTGTGAAAATCAGAAAACCATTCAGAGTAGATATATTTCTTTAGAGGAAACAACAAATATAGTGTAAGCTTACCATTTCTTCTGCTAGCCTGACCATTCCTTTCCGGCTTGTAGTGTGAGGTATCTGTTTCTTTCTCCTTTCTTTATATTTGTCACTCACAACCTAAAGACAATTAATATTAATAATCAACATTCAATAAATTTATCTAACATAATTCCAAGTCAATACCTTAAAGTCTGCACTAGTCTTGAGTTTGACAAATTTACGCCATTCTGTTGGAGAAATATTCATTGGTCTTAGATTCATTCTTTGCTGGTTATTCGGAGCCAAGAACTCTTAAAATAACCAATCCCCATATGAAACCTAACCTATATAATGTACTGTCTTACCTGCATAGATGCACCCATGACTTGTCCAACATTATATGGTCTAAGCTTAATTAAAACCTTAGTATCAACAATTCAAACCAAAAGCAAAATTAAAAGAGTGTTCCAGTTAAGACAATAACTCCATCAACCTCAGACCACATCACAAATACATGCTCTTACACCAATATTTATCAAACCAATCTCATATCATGTTCAGAAAATTAAGAAAGTAGACAATGGTAAACACACATTAACAAATTACAGTATCTCAACCTAAACACAAAACAACAGTAAAATTTTTTGTCAAGAACAAATAAACAAAGTCTGAAATTGTCTATAGCCTAATTACACAACCTCAGCCATAAAAGAAAACAACAAGACATAACAACAACTTTAACTATTATACATCTCATAGTTTAAGGACAGACAAAAAGAACAACAGGCAGATAATTTGCTTACCTGTCGTGGCTGTCCAACAACAAGAAAAGCTTCAGTTCCCCATCATTGCAATCTCCCTCACATGAAAATAGCATAATCAGTCTACATTTAAACAATAATTAAAGCATCTAAAGATAATTTCAGACTTTGTTTAAAGCATAAACAATCTTACAAAACAGAAAGAACTTGACATGCATTGAGAGAACATATACAACATATCAAATATGTACCCAAATCTGTAACTCAAATACCCAAATCTATAAACTTCTCAATTACCCGAAACCCTATTTTCAATCAAAATCCAATTCGTTAGCTTGAGAAACAGATCAATGCATATAAACCCTAAAATCGCAAAGAAGAATTAAAAAAAAAAAGAAACATATCATTGCATATGAACCCTAGCTAAAATCGATAATTTGAAACAATGCAATCACATCTAAACCCTAAAATCGCAAAGAGCAATTCAAAATCACATGGAAAAGAGAGTAAGAAGGAAATTAGAGTAGGGAAGAAACACTTGCCTTCGATTTTAGCTCACTGGCGGCGGAGCTGAAGAATGTGTCTGCGGAGGAGCACGATTTTATGGCCGGCGACAAGGTCAGTAGTTTTGGCTAGGCTTGGAATCGATTTTGTTTTGACAGAATTCACTGGGATTCGATGGAACTCGTGGATCTGAGAGTTAAACTCAGAAGACTGACCAAAGGCGATTTTGTTCAGTTTCGCGAAGTGTGAGGGAAAATAAAAGACAAAAGGCGCTTAAGTGAATAAATTTTTTCTAAGTGTTGGCGGTATAGGTCAATTTTGTTTCCCGCTTAAGTATTTTCGGTCTTAGCATTTATCAGGTGCTATTAAAAGGTAACCAAAATCACGAACTCATCTATTATAGCAGTTCGGGAAAATGTACTATCGTCTAGTGCTATCAATGTGGATTTTTTTTTGTAGTGAACAGTAATGTGGATTAATCGGTTTAGTCGTTAGTCCAATATTAGGACATAAATTATTTATGTATTTTTGCTAAGGTTTAAAGTTTTTGTCTAATACTTTGGATCGCTAAGTCATCTAGAAAAGTGGTGTCGTATGTAGCATAACTTTCACTTTTCTAAAGAGAAAGAAATGATTATGATCCCAATTAGAAACCCTAACGTAAGGACAAAGAGGGGAGAGTGGAGACACTGATTAGCTATTATAACCCTAATTAAAAGACAGCCCGACATTAATTATTTAATAATCAAATTTGCACGGATATATATTGTTTTCAATGTGATAATGATATTTGGCTTTTTGTTAAGGGAACAAGAGAAAATAATGATGTCGGTAACAGTTGGTTAGTCTGATAACCTAAGTCCTAACGACAAATTCTATTTATACTTTGCTTTTTACTTTACGATTCGAAACCAAAAAATGTTGGCCATTTGTCTTCACTTCTGTGGGTGGGTTATACGGT